GAAAAATGCTCTTTCAATCAATGGACATAACGATAGTGAACAGGAGTTTACTTTCATATTGAATGAATGTACTAGATTCAATAAGGTACTTCTTGAAAATCAGTCCGACACAATAAAACATACTGAGGAATGTGAACGAATTATTGCTGAAGCAAACCAAGTCTATCATACTATGAAACAAATCGGAAATACTCGAACTGATACGAAACGTCTCCTTGATATATCGGAATTTTCAATTGAAGATAATATGAATGACGCATTTCTTGGTTCGCAGATGGATCGTGATGTTCATCTCTGGTTAATTGATGATAATATATCAAATTCACTTGTATATCATCCTCGATCGGCTATATTAGACTTTGGTATTGCTCTTAGTGGTGTTCATCAACGATTGATTCAACGGGTTTTTATTCATAATCAATCAGGAAAAGATTTAACTATAGAAATAAATCGGCAAAATACCGTCGACAATACATTCAATGTGACAGCAGAAAATTGTTCGGTCAGTGCTGGTGGCATGTGTGAATTCGAAGTGTTCTTAAGACTATCGACAGATATTAAAGTAGTAGAAGAAAATTGGAATCTTGTTATCAATAAAACGACTTTATTATCGAATCTATTGTATCGGTTGTTCGTATTGTTAGACTCGATGTTGAACTCTCATCTGAGACGATCGATTTCGGTTATGTACCTTGTAGTGCACGTCGAATTGAAGAGAAGATATTTTTGAATAATGTATTACCTTGCCCAGTACGTGTCAAAGCACGACTACAAGCAACTGAAAAGAGGCCTCATCAATCAAAATTAACAATTATCGATGAAGAAATTGATTTAGCTGCTGAATCAAAGTGTCCATTTGCTCTTGCACTTGAATCATGTGCTAAGAATGAAGAGGATATTGAGGCTGATATTTCACTTGTAGTTGATACACGTAAAAATCTCAAATGGATCAAAGTATTAGCGTATGTTCGACGCAGTCATCTAACAGTTCTTTATCAAAGTCGTATTATCATTGACAACAGCCAATCCGGTCATTTATTAATAGAAAATTTTTACAAAGGTGAAAAGCGTCTTATTCCAATAGAATTTTACAACTCTGGCCCTGTTGAATATACCCTTTGCCTGACATCTGAAGATAAAGGATTAGTATTTTCTGTTGCTGAATTGAAATTATCTGCTAGCGAGAGAAAAACGGTACATATCGAAGTGCAAATATCAACAAATGTATCGAGTCAAATCTTTACTATCAATATCGAATTCTTGAATGTTCGTCGTCGATGTAAATTAATATTAATGTGTGAAACAGCTACACCTGCACTCGACTATCATATCCCGAAAGCTGAGGAACAACACGTAATCATTATAAATACTAAAAATTACAAAAAAGAAATCTGGAATCCAATTCTCAATGTTCTCAATCCCGTTAAACATCAAGTAATATTTACTAATACAGGCAAAGCTGCAGCGACACTTCGTTTCGACCGAGTTCTTGCAGGAGAAAATCCATCGTTACTATTGACGAGTTGTTTCGATGTCAAACCAAGCAACACTATTGTTCTACCACATTCAGACGTTTGCATTGATCTCTTTTATCATCCAAAAGATTTTCGTTCATTCGATGGTATTGTTCAATTCATTAGCAATGTATCAATTGATCCGGTTCATGTTCCGTATCATCTAGAATTTCATGCACCCATCGTTTATACAAGTCCACGAACGGTGATTGATATTGGTGTTATCCAACTCGGCGCAACAATCCAAAAGGAATTACTCACGGTACAAAATATTGGACCAGTAGAACTTCGTGCGCACTTTTCTGGGCCATTTCGTCAGCATTCATCGGTGCAATCAGCTGCTCTAAAATATGCATCGCCTCGATCGAATCGTCTTGTAGGCACAGATGGATTTGTCATTAATTCAAAAAAGAAACGTTCCTTCAGTGTCATGATCGAGTTTAACTCAATTGGCACATCACTTTTATCAAACGTAGTCACTCTTTGTGGCTTTGAATTGATTACTCAAAATGATCCCGTTATCAACATACAAGGGGTGTTGGTCGAACGTAAAATAATGATTTGTGTTATTGGACATGCACAGCCATTACTACCACTTGTCCCATACATTGAATCTAAATGTAAACCATGGTCATCGCTAAGAACTTTGTCACCATCCTGGCTTCAATCTATCTATGCGGATCATCATGTGTATGAGAAGTACGCTTCTTTGATAGTATTCACTGCCATCGGTCATGTTTGTGGTTCTCAACGAACTAACGACGAACTACCGATTACTCTAGACGAATGGAAAACATTTTGCGCAAATCTCTCTACCGATAATCGAACAATCACCCTTGAAATGTTTCGTCAATCGAATAATGTCAGCAATTCGATTGAAACATTGTCTAAATTGCTTGGAAACCCAGATACTGATTCTTACCACTATTCACTTTTTTATAATTTAGCGTCGTTTTACAGTTCATTCTCATGTGATGATACTATTGGTACTCAAATCTTTGCCGGAATCAATTCGACTGATATTATGGACGAAGCCTATACAATGCAATGCTATGCAAATCAATTTTGGGCATTGTATACACAATGTTCTGTTGATGATAGTCATCGACAATCAATTCGTTTCGTGTATCGATGCATTAGCGAAGATCCAGCAATATCGACGGATGTGCGTAAGTTTATCGAATTCATTCATGACTCGTTAAATGCGAAAACAGCGAATGATATCATAAAACAACTATCTGCAATAATACCTAAAGATGATGCGATGTCTGAATTGCTTACAATACAAATTGGCCTGAGGAATACAGTAGAGTGGCCGTTACTGTTTGCGCTTGTTTCTGATCGAGTTCGAGAGATTGTAATTCGATTAATCAATGAAGACTTTCAGGCATTGTTGGATCTAAATTTCAATTTAATTGATCAAGAATCATCGAACTTTTGGAAACGAGCAATTATGGAGATGACTAAAACTGCACACAATAAGTGGAATGTGTTGACATTAAATGAAAGAACCAATTGTCTTGTACCATTTTTCACTGACTACCCTGATTTCGTTCTCATTATAGTTGAGTTATCCAAGCAACAACAACCTCAACTCAACCATCTTTTATCAGTCACAAAAATAATTTTCAAACGTGTTGATCCATCTCAAGATTTCTATAATATTGAATCTTCTTTTCAAGCGAGAACACAGCATGAAATTACAGACAAACTTAGAATTTTTTCTCATCTATGGACTATACGTTCCGACCTTGCTTTATCTATTTTACAATTGAGAAGATCTATCATCAACGATTCGACTGATGGACGAATACGTTCCAATCAAATCGATAAATTCTGCGAAATACTTGGACAACTTGCCAAACTCGATGCTCATCAATGGAAAAAAGTTCAATTAAGTATTATATCGGCATGGTCTCTTCTGTGTACGGTAACCGAGAACGAAACACGACTATCGGATGTTGTCGATAGAATTCTTCATCTTCTTCATATACTTGATATCGATAAACAATGGTCATCGGTTCGAGATGCTTATAAGCAATTCTGTTCTCGACCATCATGGACAACTGCACAGCATTTGACAGATGTAATCAATGCTGATCATGAGATCAACAATCTTTTTAAAAAAATCAGTACACATACAGATGAAGAGGACATGGCAGCAGATGTTTTTCGACTATGTCGTTGTTTGTCGACTAGTGACGAGCAAACATTGCTTGACAGTTGTAAAGCAGATATTCAAAATCCATCATCCGTCAAATTATCAAATATCGATTTATTAAAACGAATGGAAAATTTTGCTTCGGGTCTTATGAAGAAGAAAATTCAATTTTTCCTGCAATCAATTCAAATATTCGAACAGATTCCATCTAATAACGTTAATTTTAACGAATGTTCACTAAAGACTCTTGTTCCAATGTGGCAGACACTATTCGACATCACTTGCAGTCATTCTTTACGAACTTTCGAAGCAGTATCGTCTATACTAATATCTTTTCACGGTCTGGTCATTACAAAAGAAATTCCATTGATTCAACAACTTTATACAACAAATATGACTGCAGCGCTTTGTACATTGGCCAATTGCCGACTGTATAATCGTGAGATGGCAACATCTACAATAACCACACCCAATGTTCTATCGATTATGTCAATTATTCGGACGAGTATTTGTAATCGGGATTCATCGCCTTCTACAACACCAATGATCAAAACGACTGATGCAGTTACAATGCCATGGGATACTGATGATTCTGTAAGACCATCTAAGATAATCGTAACACGAGTATCACCCTATTCGAACAGCACTTTGGAGAAAATGCAAGTTTCAGTTGAGGGGTACATCAATCGAGGACAACTATCGACGGTTCAATTGAAAGAGTCGGATACAGTTCAAGTCGTTGTCGATACTACGTTTGCTTACCGACTACAAGTCGCTCAATGGTACGATGCTTTTGTGACATTCAATGTTCTTGTGAGCGATTCATCCTATCGTAACCAAACAAGTTTGACCATATATGGTTGCCGTATTATCGAATATGGCTTACGATTGTTACGTGATCTTGTTGTAATCAGAATGATTCTTGAACCGACATTTACTCGAGTAGGTGTCCGTTTTCTTTTGAATGATTTGGTACGTCTGGAAAATTGTCTTCGTTCATTGTCACTCGAAAAGTATCCAAAATTGAAAAATATTCTTTGTGTACTTCATGTCGATATTCGTCGACCTAAGCTTGACTTAAAATCACCATCACGTTCACTCACACTGAAAGGCAACTCAGTGCGAAAGTTGAAATTCGATCTTGATGCACATACAATAACAACCTCTTTACAAATTTCTCAGCGATCAATGAAAACTTCACTACCATTAGACGTCGATCAAGACAATGTTAAATTATCGAATACTGAGTGGGAAAATGCCATTCAATACGAAATTCGTAAACGTACGAATATCAACATGACATCGGCGAACACCAGGTATAGACCAATACATAAGCATAGTCAAGTTGTCACGAGCAATGTTCGAAGTCGTGTACAACGGTTAGCTAATGACATTCTAGATCAACATACGAACATGCATAATCTTACAGGAATCGGTGGAAATATTGATGCTGTTGGAGATTATATTGGATCGATAAATACGTTCTCAATGCCCGAGATCAATATCGAACAACAAATTAATGTGATGCGAAATCATTTGAAGAACGACATTAAACTAATTGACATGTACAAAATAGCCGGTCAAAAGATCGCCATGATTACGCCCGATGGTAAACTTGATAATCGACCGGTGCTTAAATTGACTACTAAATGCGAGCGATGGACATATCAAATGTTAGTAGAGACGGAGCCGATCACCAGCATGATCGAGCTGATGGTCAAAGGATTTCGTTCAAGTTGGGAACAACTTATTAATCGAAGCAATTCAAATGATCAACACGAAATTCATTGGTGCATAATGATCGACAATTCAGGTTCGATGAGCATTCATCGCAATGCCATTTATGAAAGTCTGGTTGTACTCATGGAACTATTGCGTAAACTTGAAAATAAATTTGCTGTGGCTCGTTTTGGTGGACGTACAAATCAAAAAATTTTGAAGAATCTTAACGATATGTTTACAAATCAAGACGGTCAATATATTCTCGAAGCATTGACATTCGATGAAGGTACATATCCAGCAACAGGTCTCGCACGTGTAGCTGATCGAGTATTCCCCGAAAGAAAAATTAAGTCGCCTACAAATATTCACATTCACCAAGTCGTGATTATGATTACAGATGGTTTAACAAATGAACGTGAAGATACAACTTATTCAGGCACAATGGTCAAGTACAACATTGATCTCGGTATTTTGTTTATTGAAACAGATATGGAAGCGACAAGCAAATTGTTGCTTGATTGTTTAAAAACAGTACAAAATGTTATTATTAAATCGAATAAGATGGTCGAATTACCATGCATAATGCCTCAATTGTTATATAAAATGATTAACAAATGTTTGCAAGAAACAAATTCCATAAAAAAAGAAACGATCCTACCATCAATAATTCACATTGAAGTACCGAGCTATGATGGAGACACTCCAATACCCAATCAATCATCTAGCGAGAGTATCAAATATTCATGCGCCAATCCAAGTTCATACATGATCAGTATTCCTATAGCTATCATTCCAGGACTGTCCCATGTAAGTTCTGTCAATATGGATCCTTAACTTTTTAATTGTTAACCCTTTCAATCTCTTATGTCATCTACGAAATGACATGCAGAACGAAAAAGAAATATTTTGCGTTCTTTCGTCTTCTTAAATGGCGAACATCATATGACATGTTCAAAGGAAAATCACCTCGTATGGCTATGAATAATGAATCTAGATTTCAAACACATATGATAGTGATAGTTGAATGCAAGAGAGAGATATTAAACTATTTTTTTTTCGTGTTTGTGCAGAACGCAAGACAATGTCAGGATTGCAAGGGTTAAATTTATTTTGAAACTAAATAGTAAAATTTTCACAAAATAATTTTTAGAAATTCACAAACATTTAAGGATAAAATAAAATTTCTCCAGCAAATATGTTTCAGTATTTTATACAGAATAAAGAGATGTTGTTTTTCAATAACAAAGGGCAAAATCCGTAATCCAATACTTGTTAGAATTTCTTCAGAACATAGTCAAATGTTCCTTTAGAACCCCTGGAAAGCATATAAGGTTTAGAAGAATTTCTGAAATGATTAAATATATATACATATATTTTTTTAAATGATTGTGTGGTCATGCATAATATTGTTATCCAGAGAGAGTAACAATCAATGTGAAAGTGATACACGTAATAGAGTAGCAACAATCAATTGAAATAATAGTATTTAAGGAACCGATCCACATTGAATATGAATAATGATAAAATTGACACAGAAAAACATAATCCATATGAAACGTCAGAATTGGTAGGGTGTGGTCCGATCAGCGTAGAATGTTAGAATCGATATAGAGCATACAAAGAAAACAGAGTTAAGGAATTGTATTTTTCATATTTTCCATAAAGATTACTTTGATGACTGTAGTCGTCGTTAACACAGTTTAGGGGTTAATAAATAAGTGCCTTTGTTTCTGTAACTTAATCGTTTATTCTTGTTTCTTTGAGGTTTATCCTGAACTGAAAAGATATTTGTCACATGAAATGGATTACACAGATTGTACTTCACATGCTGTTGACAAATTGCGTCAATATTATCAATCGATGAAGACAAAACCGCCAATACTTGATGCTGAAAAGGCTTGGCTCAGCGATGAACAACGATTTTCTGCTCTGATCGATGATGTTTCAGTGGTGCTTGGCGAACTTGTCTTTCCATTCAATAGATTTACTCGACGTCGAGGAGCATTACGAGGTTCATCGCTTTATATGCCCGGTATCATCAAAGCAATGACAAGTGAATGGAATTATAAGAAAATTTTTGGCGCTAAACTTGCCGGTGGTAAACGTGATCATACTGTATGTCTAGTACTTGATGTTTCAACGTCAATGTTCGGTACACTTAGTATGGGTACTCTCGATGTAATTGTCGTTCTGATTGGTGCATTGCGAAAAATTGCCATCGATAATTTTTCAATTCTGATCTTTGGTCGAACTGTTCGATTAATTAAAACGAACGAACAAGGATGGGATGCGATCACGATCTATACACTTATGCAGGAATTACGCTTTGATCGAGAGGATGGAACAAAGGATGCTCATGCAATTGAAGCCGCCATCGATCTACTTGGACAATGTTCAACACGCGGTGAAAAGAAAATTTTCATTATTACCGATGGTTATGGTAATTGTGGAAGTCACTTAGCCATGGTGCAACAGCGTGCTGAAGGCAATCAAATTGATGTCATTGCTATGGCTATCGGCATTGAACAAACAAATATAAAATCTGTTTACAAACGATATCTTCAATGTGCCACTGTATATGGATTGCCCAAAGCTTTTCGAGCTCTTTTCGAACATGAAACTCAACTTGATTCAATAGATTGGTCATTAAACAATGTTGCCGAAGATAAACTAGCAAACCGAAGTCAATTAAAAAATCTTTTTGATGTTATCAAATCTGAAAAGGTATTTGCGCCATTAATTGAAAAATTGGCTGGTCAACGTGATATGAAATTGATTAATACCGGTTCACCACCAGTGGATATTACTATGGATATTTGCTTCTGTCTCGATTGTACGGGTAGCATGTCCCGATGGTTTGCTGCGATCAAAATTCAGATGCGTCAAATCATTTCGAATATTAAAACTGAAATTATAAAAAAATATGGATCACTCAAATTGCAGATGCGGTTTGCTATCGTTGGCTATCGAGATATTCAAGATCGGCCACAATTTTTTGAGCGTGACTTCACCGATCAAATCGATGAAATAATTCAATTTCTAAGTGATTTAACAGCAAGTGGTGGTGATGATCTGCCTGAAGATGTACTTGGTGCTCTTCTTACATGTGTGAAATTACCAGGCTGGAAAGCAACAAATGCTCGTTCCATTGTTCTTATCACTGATGCACCAGGTCATGGAGAACTGAATGATAAATTTGATGATCATTATCCTCAGGTATAGAACAAACAGCATCATTTTGTTCGTTAAATCGATGATAGATTGAGAAATTTGCATAACATGAGTACTAATCATATAAATCGTGTCGCATGAGAAATAATATTCGAGTATCAAGAAAATTAAAAGATATCCATCTAATTATGTCTTAGCAAAGGAAATGGCACTTGTTTTAAGATCTCGTATTGTTAGTTTTATTCAATAAGTATTATTCTTGTAAAATCTATAGGAATGGCTTCTTTTTTGTAGGGAGTTGGTTCGCGTACCTTTGAACAAATCTGTGATCGTCTTCTTACAAAGGACGCCGAGATAGATTTGATGTTCTGTTGTATCAAAAATGATGCTACAAACAAAATGCAACGAGCTTTTGCTGATTATTATCATAAGAAGAAAAATGAAACAGATAAAAAATTCAGTGTATTTTATCCATTCGAAGATAATGAGCAAGGAACACAATTGTCTCATTTCGTCTTTGTACTTGATGGATCAAGTTCAATGAATAATCATTGGAACGCTTTAGAACAAGCTTATGTTGGATTCTTGCAACGTCGAAAGAAAGATCAAGGTGACGAAGATCTTTTTAGCGTTGTACAATTCAGTGATAGAGCAGAGATTGTCTATGAACGAAAATATTTACGCGACACTCCTCTCACTATTGAACAACTCCGTGGTGGTACAAATTATTACATTGCTTTAGAGGAAGCAAAGAAAGTAATTGAAGCTGATTCAACGAAATCATCAGTGGTCATGATTTTCATGTCGGATGGACAAGATCTATCACGTACAGATCCAAAAGCATTTGTAGGTCAACTCAGGATGACGTATGGCACAAGACACAATTTTATCTGTCACACCGTTGCTTTCGGTGACGAGTTCGCTGGAAAAGACAAAAATGCAGGATTATTGAAGGATATGGCAGTAGCCGGTGGTGGTGAAGCCTACACAGCCTTGACAGATGACGATCTCAAAATTGTTTTCAGTACAATCGCAGCAAACAATACAGCGACCGATGCACTTGTTAAACGATTATCAGATGCTCTTGCTGAGGAGATTAGTACAAAAATCATGATTGACTTTCTTTGAATTCATAACTTCACTTGTTAAATCAATTTCGCTAATATAATCTGTAACTTTTTATCGCATAACAAACTAGAACCTAGTATCAGTCGAAAAATAGTTCAATGACGAATAAAATATTGAAATGAAAGCATTGCATTTAATACTCTTGCTATTCAAAAGAAAAGAACCAAAAAAGAAAAAGAATAGATTTCACCCAGGTCAGCAAATCTGAAGATATGTCCTAAATGATATTAAGCATATAGTTTTCGTCATATATTACTAAGGCTCGAGACCACAAACTAATTTTTTTTTATTAATTATAAAAGTTCAACAAAAGCATTAAAAAATCATAATTTGAAGTTAGTAATAACGTGAAAAAAAATAACATAAAAATATAAAATCCAATATTTATAATGTGAAAATATGATTTTCTTGCGTGATGTATTGAGCTATCTTATAAAAATGATTTTGAATTCTGTTTCTGATCTAGTTTTTTATTTTTCTTCCTAAAATCTTTCTTTACATCCTCTCAATCTATATTTTTTAGAGTGTCTCGTTCTATAGCTATGCATTTCTTTTTCATCATATTAGGCCTTCCAAACTCAGTTCAATTCACATATTAACTGAGGCATATATATTGTAGAAAACAGGATCTTTCTTTCTTTCGACAGACTTTTCTATTGTGCAAATGATTTTTCTCTTTATATGATTGAATTCTTAGAAATGAGCAGACAAGAAATCTGTATAAGTTAAAGTCCAATAGAAGTATCTACTATATTACGACTGCCAGAGGTTTTCTATTAAACGAATTTATAGAATTGCTACCATAGTCAGGACCGAGTGTTTCAGAACAAGGGATTTAGAAGATTTGTGATTGGCTTACTTTAGGTTCTCCTTGAAATTAATTAAAGTATAATTAATTGGTAGATGTTTTATCGTCTCACAATGTTGGGAATCCCTATATAGTTCCGTTGTGAAATACTAAGTTAGCGTGTACAATAGACGATATTTCTTTTCTGCATGTATGTTTGCTTTAATCATTCATGAGGGCTATTTCTACTGTTTTAGTTTTCTAATAATTTAGTATAATAATAAAAAAATTTGTGAAAATTCTATTTTGATTTCGATCTCTAGTAGTGTGCTATAGTTATTCCTAGAAAAGCTTGTAGTTAGATTGATGTAAGTTTTGCTGTGTTTCTGGATTCGAATGAATCAAGCGAATACAAAAACAATATGTAATATTCTCATTTAACAGCTGATTTATGTGTGGGAAATTTAAAAGAAGCTGGTGATGGATTGCAATTCATACAGATGATTGAGCTATCAATCAGTAGTATGAACTGTTCTGTTGTTACTAAGAGTACAGTGATCATATCTAGAAATTGGACTGTACATTCACTCTGCCAGTACATAGGTAAATGTAGTTTGTACGCCTTAAAGGTAATATCTAAATACTGTATGTACTTTTTAAAAGCGAATACCGGCATTCTGCATTCAGCATTTGCCAATAAAGTATAGTTTAAATGATCGTCATTCTTTTAGGTGGACAGTGTCATAAAATACAATGACATTTTATCATTCGCTTTTACGTGTATAGTCCCCTACCAACCTATATTTGTTGTAAGAATTGAGTGAATCTTTTGATGCATTACTGGATTTTGCACTTCTTTGATAAAATCTGATGCTCCAAATATATAGCTATCGTGCAACTGCTTTTTACACAAGCGTACCATCAATCAATCATATTGTTTTATCTATTGAGGCCTCATTTCATAACACTTCGAGTTGGAATTAGAAGTGTTACTTTATTTTTATTTTTATTTTTCTTTGTGATAAAGTATAAATATAAATACAATTTTAATCGTTATAAAATAAGAACAAAGAAATACCTTATATTTAAAAAATAAACATGAATAAAGAAAATAAATCTTTATCATTTTGAAAACAAAGATACAAGAATGAAAAAAGAACGATTTTTTCTATGATAGTTAAATAGGTATATACATAACCTCACAGCAGGATATGTAAATCAATGTCTTTTCGTATCATGTCCGCACTACTGCATACGAGATTATTAAAACAATATGCGCAAAACGCTTTTCTGTATAATTAATTTCCATTTATGGTATCATAACCGTTTTCGAAACTGCTTAGTACACTTCAAGACTAGATTATTATAGAAAGAAAGTTTCTTTATTATTTCTTTTATCTTTATTTTTTAAAGATAAATAACAAAAGTTCTTCATCTTTATTTTGTGAACAAAAAGATTTTTGTCATATTTAATTTATAAATATAAGCCTTGTATCTATATTTCTTGATATAATAAAGATAAAGTATTACTCCCATAGCTGGAATCCCGATTAAATCATCATCAACCTACCAGAGTTCTACTATGAATTCAAATTCAGGCACAACCAAGAAAATTATTGACACCAGCTTAAGATTCAGTTTTAGTTTGTTGTGAACTTTCTATTCACTTCACTGTAATCAAAAGTAAATACAGTATTTACATTTTTACAGGTGAATATAATACTTACTTTTTATAGGAAAGTAAAGTATTTACTTTCACAAAAAGTAAACTAAATGTGTCACTCCTATTCATGTTTCAACTTCGATCAATTGATCCGAAAAAGCAAAATTTAATTTCACTCTTAGGAAACCCTAATCGCAGCAAAATAATGCAGGTAGTTGACGATATAGAAAAGTTCACTTAAAACGTGTCGAGATAGAAGAAATATTCGCGGATACGTAGAAGGTTTCTGTTAGAAAAGCAATAGTGATCTACTAGAAACGCAAGAATCCTTCCAGTTATAGCAATGTGTTGCGTGCATAGGGAAAACTTCATGAAAAGTCCGTTGAATTAGGAGAAAAGTCCCCAAAATATAGAAAACTTCGCTTATAAAGAAGAATAATAATCTATTGGAAACAGAAAAGTCCTTCCATTTATAGAAAAGTGGCCAATAAATATCGAAAAGTTCACTAAACGTCTGTTGGATTAGGAGAAAAAACCGCTGAAATATCGAAAAGTCCCGCTATTAATTGAAATGATAATGTATTGGAAACAGAAATGTCCTTCTATTTAAAGAAATGTGGCGCGTCGATATGGAGAATTCCACTAAGTCCATAGAGTAAGAAGAAATGCCCACTGAAAAATGAGATTATTGAAGGTAATATGGAAATTTCGCGCTCTTTCGCTTGATCAGTAAAGTCCGTCTGCTCATTAGCGGACTTTAGAAAAAGTGGACATTTTTCGGATCTCTGCCAGCCTTCTCACGTGGATGTACTGTGACTCTACAATGAACTTTTGTGTTTTCGTATTCTAAATATAAGACTTAAGATTTTGAATAGAATAATGCTCAACGTGTGATATTATTGTTTTGACACTGGATCAGACATAATGAAATATTTAACACGACGAGATTCATCTAGTCTTGGTGTGTTCCGTTTTGAAAGAATGACAATGCACGTCCATAAGAGCTCACTTTGTTTTATTTTTCTTTATAGCTCTACTAAACGAACTGTGGAAGTAGTCAGCAAAGAAAACCAGGCACTACTCCTACTAATTATAATGCTTGCGGCTGACCTCTAGCCGAAAAGTAAATCAATATTGAATGAAAGAAATTAAAAAAGGATGACCACTCACTAGTCATAGAAATCGCACCAGCTGTCAAATAAATTTTTTCAGCTATTTAAACCTTTTTCAAAGGATATTACTAGGAATTCTCTCCAGATTGGACGTAGATGGTGATGCACTAGAACGAAAAGAAAAAGTAATGCCCATACCCTCGTGTTCGGGGAATGAAGCACCATAGTAGTGAAACTTCAATCAGCCCACTCAATCTACACAGAAAAGTGAATTAGTTCTCGGTGAAAAAGAGAAACAGAAAGAAAGCAAGCGAGTGATACTTGTAGGAATGCAGACGCTTGATTGTTTGAAAGTTTACTTCAGTTTTCGTTTTTTCGACAATCAAAAAGTCTCTTGTTGGTCGCAAACAGAATCGAACAAACAAAGACAAGAGAAGCAGAGGTGTGTTTACATTAAACATGTGCGAGTATGAATAACATTTTCATTTTCGAACAGTTGGAAACTGCCAGTTTAATATTAATTTTAATAGAAAAGGCTATGCCAAAGCGTTTATGTTTTTGTTTCTATTTGCATTAATAGAATGTAAAGATGGCACTAAACACGACGAAATCATGTGGATCTATTTCAACAAAGCATTCAACAGGTGACTCTAATTCTCTACCACCCGATGCTGTCAAAAGTAATTTTGATAGCTCACATTCGTTTCGTAAAAAGCAAACAGTTGATTCGTTCGTCCCAGAGCATACAAAACACAACAATGAATCATCATCTGGTCTTTTAGACTTCGGCAATCGTGGAATATCTCGAGCAAACGATGAATCATCACAGTATTCTCTCGATGCTCAACATGATGACCTGAATGACGATATCAGACCAGGTATGACATATCGATATTACCATGCATCTCCAAATATAGAACATTTTGTTTTGCATAGGACCAGATGCATACACCCTAGATAGTGCGATGAGGGTAGTATTTCCATCATCGCCTGCTTACACATTTAGCTCACGATTGGATTCTTCGGAACCTTTGCTAACACCAGGTCCGGGTGCTTATAGCCTGTTTAACTTCAAGAATAAACGGCAAGCACCTGCATATACTTTTGGAATCCGACACTCAATGTACCAAGCACCATTTATTTTTCAACAGAAAAAGTAGTCAAACTATGTCGCCATTAAAAACACTTCCAAAACGATGATCTTTCGTTTGTTACGTTTACAATATTCTTTTTCAAAAGATGGAAAATGATCGACAATAAAATCACTACTGTTAAAAATAGTTGTTAAGTAGTAACTAATGTACTATCATTTCTCGTTCTCTACCATGTGCGCTTGTCTAAACGTTTTTTTTATCTACGTCCTTCGCTGTTGTTCATTGTGACAATACATGTACCTATCTCGATTTAAGCTAGTTCCAGCTCCAAAAGTTGATGAAAT